GGTATCCGTAAGAATGTATATATATGTGCATATTAAAATATGTCAAAGAAATGAAGGCAATATATCAAAAGTACACAAATCTAGGTATGAAATACCAAAAGAGTTTTTACATTAAAATGGAAAAAATAATTTGTTCTCATAGTAGTTTTGAGAAATTTATGCTTTCTTAGAGAAAACCCTAGCCGCTCAGAGGGTTAAGTTATTATTGCATATATAAACTGATTATATGATATTGTTCATTTACATTAGGCTCCTCTATTTTAAAATCAGCATGAATCTGCTTCCCCTTTTCTCTCAGGAGTAGTCCTGAAATAGGTACCCAATCACTCTGCCGCTGCCGGAATCACTCGTACATCAAGGTTTGCTGATTTCGTCTCATGTAAAGATTTCCGGTTTCGCATTCCGGTGTTAGAATCACTGTTGCTGTAAAATTTCAATAGCTTTTCTTTATTGTTCCGTATAATAATGGCAATTCCATACGATTCTGCTATAAACTGAGCAGTAGCACCTGCTTCCATTTTTAACCGAATTTCCACTTTTTTCATTACCGTCGATGCAACTTGTTTACGTTTTTCAACGTTGCAAGTAGTAAAATCATGAGTGACTTTCTAATCCGATTGTATTAAAAAGTGCTAAAATTAAAAATACAGTCAAAAGTCGTTAATTCGGACACCCATAATCTGGACCTCAAAGCTAAAAACTTTGTGCGCATGCACCGCGTTGACACATGCGCATAGGCGTTTACGCGTGCGTGTAAGACCTAAGACTGTGCATTTGCGTATGCGCAAGCGCAGAATACGTTTTCGCTTGCTCGTTTAATGAATAATGGACGGTATAAGCTAAAGTTATCTAATTATCTATTTCAGTTAATGTTGATGATTGCGTTGTTCCTTAATCTTCGAACTGCATGCGGCTTATTATTTTTTGCAGACTGTAAGAGCAATTTTATAAAAGTAAACTTGAACTTTCGATTATGTCAAATAGAATTTCCGATGCTGGAGCTCCCAAAGGATCTACAAAACGAAAGTATGTTTCGATGTCCATCAAACAAAAAGTGGAATTGCTGTAAAAAATGGACAAAGACATGAAGAAGGAGACAGAAGGGTTAGTGAAAACGAAAAAATTTCGATTGACAAGTTAGTCGGTATTCTTGGCACAGCAATTATGTGACTTGAACAGCAGAACTTTGTAACTGAACAAGAAATGATGTCTGTTTATAGAATTAAAGAGAAAGTATTATCACATAAAACGAAGCAACTTAAACAACTTACATTGAAAGAAATGTTTAATAAAGTAAACAAATAAATATTAAGCTTTTTTTTTTTTTTTTTTGTAAATTTGATACCATTTAGATCATAATTGTTCTTTATTTCATAAATTACGGTTTCATATTTTTAATTTTAGAATTTCTGCATGCCATCTTATGAGATTTAAATTGATGATCTATAATCCGGAAAAATCGATAATCCAGAATCGCCGGAGTCCTGACGAGTCCGGATTAACGACTTTTGACTGTATTCTTAATTTATCCACAAAATATGTGAATAAAAAAAAACGACATCACTAAACAATCTCGTGAAATAACAAAGCTCAGAAAGTACAACATGAAGCATGAACTTGAAAGAAGAGTTAATTGTCTGCTTTTTTACCTAGATGCAGATTGGGGGGGAAAAAAACTTTTATCACAATGTCAATAATTTGGTATTTCCGTTATGACTCATTATTATTCGGCAATTATGACGTCATTATCCAGTAAGTACTTTTTCTTCGATATTTTGTACTCCATGTTGTGGTTTCCAGAACCTATAAACTCAATGTTTATATTTTGAGAAGGAATGTGGATTTCAGGAGTTGGCGGATTTTTGGTATTTGACTGTACTTACTTTTGGCCCAAAACTCATTAAAATGGACGTGTCATTACGCACGGAATTTCACTAGCCATTTGTCATCACTGCAGTCTCTCAACCTATTATTGAGGCTGACTTCCTACGTCACTTTAGATTACTGGTCGACATCTGTCAAGGATGTTTGGTGGACCCGCTTACCCGACGATGTTCCAAAGGAATCGTGACTACAAAAGATATAACAGCAAGGCAGTAAGCAGGAATAATAAACTTCACCAATTGCTTGCCAAATTTTCTGTGCTTACAGAAGTTTGCTCAATGTTACGGAAAATTAAGCAAGAATTACTCATTGTATTGAAACTAGAGGCCCATCTATGCTTTCATGGCCACACGGGCTTTCAGCCAAAAGCTTAAAGCAGCCAAACAACAATTCCAGTAACTGATTGAAACTAAAATCTGCAGACCCTCTAAAAGCTGCTGGGAATCCACTTTGCAAATGGTGACCAAAAGCAATGGTGATTGCCAACCATGTGAGGATTACAGGAAATTAAACAATGTCACCATCCCTGATTGGTAACCTTTTTCTCACATACAGGACCCTTGGTTTTAAGAAAGCTTACTATCAAATTCCTGTGGGAGAAGAAGACGTGCCAAAAACAGCCATTTCACACCATTTGGCCTCTTTGAATATTTGTCCATGCCATTCAAGTTATCGAATGCTGCGGTTACATTCCAGAGGTTTATTCATCAAGTTTTCAGCAGAATTAATTTTTTTTGTACCATTCTTTGATGATGTATCGGTAGCATCTGAAAATGACATGCAGCACGTGCAATATCTTAAGATGGTGTTCCAGCGATTCATGGATTATGGTATAGTAATGTAGCTAAATGTGTCTTGGGTAAATCAACTGTGAAATTTCTAGGACATTTGATAACTCCTGATGGTATCACTCCTTTGTCAGAGAAAGTATCAGCAATTGTGAAATTCCCCAAACCAGAAACTGTGAAAGAACTTTGGCGTTTCCTCGCTATGTGCATTTTTTAGCGACATTTTATTCTGCACGCTACAATATATATATCTGTTATATATATATATATATATATATGCTGCTAGCCATCCAAAATGCAAAATGAAGAACAAGAGATATTAAAGCCAAATTTGTTTCCAAGATTACACACAGTATCAATATTAATTGATTTGAAATACAGCCTTCTTTGAGGTAAGGAAAGCGAGAAAATCAGTAATGAATGTTGTCTCTACATGTGTCAATAACCTCTGCTACACAATGCAGCATTGAGTGAAAGAGGCTTGGAATGTTTTGCTAGGGAATGGCAGTCGATACTGCCTTCACAGATAAGTAAAATTCATCTTGTGCACCTGCAGGTGCGGCATCCTCCATTCATTGACCAGACATGTTTGATGGGTGATAGATTAGAAGAATGGGCAGGCCAGGGTAACAATGCAATATGGTGGACTAAAAAGAAAGCTTAAATATAATGTGTAACATGGTGTCGTGCATTGTCTTGTTAAAACTGGCTGGCAAGCCCTAAAAGTAAAGAAGTAGAACAGACTGGAGAGATAAAGCATTTGCTAGTAAGTGCACCAGTAATGCATACTAGGGGTGCAGGAGTGGAATCCAATTTCCCCCATACCATAACACTGGGTACAGGACCAATATGATTATGCATAACACAACAGTCCAAAGCCTCTCTCCACAGGGTCTCAAACTCTAATCTGACCATACTACACGCAGAAGTGTGATTTGCTCAAAAGCAATGAATTCCTAGCAGACAGTCCATTGTACTGTAAATGACATTGATCTGTTTGTTCAGACCTCGATTGTTGTGTTACAGACTACATATGTTGTGATAAGGTTGCAGATGTGGCAGTGTGTTCCAATTTCATGGTCAGCAGCAGCTTTTATATAAATAGAGGAAAAGCTATGACAAAATCATTTTCTAACAAAACAATTATATACATGCACTATATAGCTAAAAATCACTGGGCATTTCAGATTTTAGAATTTTTTCCAAATTTCTAGAGTAATGCTTCATGAATTCATTCAAACATGTGATTGATTCTCAAGCACTTTTCCTAACTCTGACAAAGCATCAGACTCATGTTTTTGTTTATTTAGATAAAGGTGGCATAATTCACTTTTGATAAATTAAGATAATGACAGTTAATTGGAAAAGTTCTAAACCTCCAACTAATTCTCGAAAGTAACTGCAGTACATCTTCACTGTTTTGTGAATATCTTTTTGAATTTGCTCAATACTCAGGTGGCATTTTTATATAAATACCCTATATACGGTATTTACTCATGTAATAGTCGCACCTCCATTTTGAAGCAGAAAAAATCATCAATATTGTGTAGTAAATTTCCCCGCATAATAGTCACACCCAGACTTTCACAATGAAAAAATGTGCGACTATTGCACAAGTAAACACAGTATTTGCCAACCAAATTATAACATAAAAGATTTATATATTTCATGCATGCATAGTTAAAATTATTTTTTAACTGTCATATCTCATCGAACATTCAGAGTTTTCATTTCAAATTTTAGTTTAATGTTTCTATTAAATGCTGTTATGTTTTCTGTAATTTTTGTGAAATTTGGTTGAATACTGCATGCTATAAGCATAAAACATAATTAAAAAAGAATTTGGAATTTTTAACGAAAATCTTTGTTAAAATAACATGCAAAAAATTTTGTGAAAATTACAGTTCATTTTTTAGTTTTTATAATAAACAGTGATAAAAAAATTTTTTTTTTCTTAATTCTTCTGTTGTTGGGTCCCTAAATGCACTAGTGACTGAATTTTCACTGGTAAGTGTAAATTCAAGTATATTGTTTACCTGACCACAGTTACAGAACAATTCATCTAGTACAGAAACTTTTTTAAAATGTCTAAAATTCCTACTCACTATTACTTTTAAGTGCCTATTGACCTTTGGCTTTATAATTTATATTATGCTTACTAAAATAATAATAATATAATGCAAAATAAAATATAACTCTCACTTTCTATATTTCTAATATATAAAAAACAAGCATATATGAAATTGATGAGGTAAAACACAGAAAATTATCAGGACTACAATCATTAGGAATTACATGCTAAAACACACAGTCAAAACACTTCTTTACCATTGGGATAAAGGATGAAATATCTGTTAAGATGCAGCCATCTTGCCAATCACTAAATGAAGAATTTTTTAAAAGTAATACCTGCACTACACCCTTCTTTAAAATATCACCAATCAGAGCAATTTTTATGCCAGTCCATACTTTGCTAATCTGAAATACAATACGAAATTTTTTAATATAAAAATTTTCTTTTCATCATATTTTTATGAAATTAAAATAAATACAAAGTTAGTACAAATACTACTATATATAAATATTTGGTGGAGATCCCACCAGTTATTCCTGCAGAATTCTGGAGGAACTAATACCTCCAAAACAGCCATTACTCAACTTGCTTCACAGGTAGATAGTCCTAACGTGATTTGCCATAATCAAATAAACCAAACCAAACTAAAACTGACCTCTTTAATGTTTGCACTCTGTAAATATGCTTTCATTGATTTTCACCACTGTGTTGGGCTCTCCAGTTTTATTGAAGCTCTGCTTAGAATGCTATGAGTACAAACTTCCTGCAGGTAACTGCTTCAATGTATTACTATCTTTTTCAGTCATATTCAGCTGACCATATAGTGCCATTTATACACAGTTTTTTATATATATACGATATAATCCTACATCCCAAATTTTAATAACTTATTTTTCCAACTTGTGAAGGAAAAATGCAGCAATAACAGTTAATTTATAGCTTAATTTTATGAATATGTTCACTAAAACAATAGGTGGCTTATAGAGAATCAATCACGGTTACCTCACACAAAAGTAAAAAATGTGTTATGTAAAGTTTATCCATAATCAACACTAAATCATGCTGCTTGGTAAGAGTTTCGCATTTGATGGTATAACATGCAAGTACCATTCCATTACAGGTTGTAAGATTTAATTCGGAAAATTCCTTGTTTACTAGCTAAGAAGGAAAAATTGCATCAATAACAAAAAGGCAGCTATTTTTCCATTATGCACCTGGTGCCCTTTTTGGTGCCTGTGAAAGAGAAGCCAAACATATGACAAGACCCACCAATAGTACTACCTGGGGACTATGTGTGTGAAACAAGAATAATTTAACACGTGCACAAACACACACACACATTATTATAATAGTACTACCAAAATATGAGGAAGCTGTATAATAGAAAAGTACCAGAAGCATATTGTTCAAATATTGTCGGATCTTGAATGTGCATACTTTGTGATTAAGTGCTCTTTAGATTTATTGTGATACTGCTTTATTTGTGAAAGTATGATTTTGTTCCCAACGATTTTCACAAGGACTCCTTGACAATGGCCACTAAGAATGTATATTATTCAGCTTTGAAAAGTGACAATGAACCAAATGACTGATTTAATAACTTAGAATTAGACCCCACTGACAAATATCCAATATTAGAATTGCTTAATAAGGAGAAATTTGATCAGGAGTTCAACAATACTGAGGGCTTTTTTGAAAACATGGAACAAAAAGTTTTATTAATATGGAGTGCTAGTGAGGCTTTTTTAACCAAAACCCTCATGTGGATTAGGATTCCTACAGACAGTTAGCTGTGCATCCAATTTTTGAAATAAAAGCAAGAATCTCTTATATCTTAAAACTTGAATGTAACTTGAAAGTTAAAGAATTTTAAGGCACATTATAGACCTATCCTAAATTCACGTAATAATGTTGGTAAATCTACTGATATCTGAAATTTAGAATTTTCATGTAGTTAAGAAAGGTGTTGAAAAGTCAAACAGCATCCTCACTGATGTTGTGGATAATCCTAAAAGCAAAAAGGAAAAAGTTAGTAAAGTGGGGTTTATTTTCCCAAATTACTAAAAAATAGCATCTACTCTGTAGAGACATTAAGTTTTTCTTTTAAAGCAGGAGAGATGAAAAATGAGCAATGTCCTCATCAGACTCAAACCACGGACCTCTCGAATACGCTCTGAGTGAGCTGACAATTACACCACGAAGGCATATTAAGGAGGCAGGAGAAATACCTTATATACTCCCTCTTTTAAAGGGCGACTTTGGATTAGGAGATCCAATCGCCACATTCTGGTGGTGCAGAATCATCATCCACCACCTTTTTTAGTTTGCGTACCACTGTAGAGACATTAGTTTTTCTTTTTTTAAAGCAGAAGAGATGAAAAATGAGCAATGACCTTGTTGGGACTCGAACCATGGACCTCTCGAATGCGTTCCAAGCATGCTCAGATGGGAGAAATACCTTATAACTTAAATACTGCTAATAAATTTGATATTTTGAATAATGTTAAAAATGTGCTGATATAATGTCAATAATAATGTAAATATTGGTGGTAATAATGCAACTGCTAGTGGTAATGATGTTAAATGTGGTTGATACTGATAATATGCAAATGCACATGATAAACCACAGGCAAGATTTAAACGCATAATGGTTATTCTGCCTACTAAATTCAATGAATTTGTTAAGAAACTGTAGGAAGATTTAAATTACATTTTCTCTGCAAGAACTGCTTATGAATTGCTGAGAATTTTTCCTGCTTCAATTGAAGACCATCACGCCATAAAAACGTGCTTTGAAGACAATGTAATTCAGCAATACATTGTGCACAGAGAATATATTAAACATATAAAAATTATTATTAAGGGTATACCATTGGATTATTCAGCAGATGAAATCAAAGTACTCATTGCTGAATGTTTCAAAGTTATGAAAGTATGTACTATGTATGGCTTTCTTTCAACATCTATCTTACAATGTTCCAATGTCTCTCTTACAAGTTCTCTTAGTTAACAAATCTGGAACAGAAGATATTTATCACATTACTGAATTACTGTACTGTAGTATTTGTATGGAAAGTTAAACACTGAAAGGCAGTGTGGTCCAATGCCACGACTGCCAGCATTTTTATCATTCATTTAACAATCAATGATAAAAATGAATAATAAGTTAACAATGATATATAACAATGAATATATTGATATACATAACAATGAAAGATGGGCTGATCTTTGGAATATGGTAACTGGTAGTTTGGCGACATTTTGGAGGCGATAAAGGTTACTACCTAGGACTTTGGTAATAATGTGAGAAGTACTCAGTTCCGATTACGCATTATTTTGTGTGAGGGAATGAGAGATCATGAGATATGTCATGTGACATTAATGGACGAATTACGTTCTTAATCGGAAAAGGGGGGGGGGGAATTTGGAAACTGTAGTATATATTATTTGTATTAGCTTTTGTGTGTTGTGTGAAATAGTGGAAGTGTGCGTGCCACGTAATGAAGATTCTGAAGATTAGGGTAAATTAGTATTTTTAATCATTGAGGATATTATTTTTATGCATTGTCTAAATATAAGGAGTAATAAATTAATATGGTATTATCGGAAATTGTTATTAGCAATGATTTAGTTTAAGTAATTAGGATTGTAATCTAATTTTTATTATTTAATGTATGTGCTTATTTATATTTAAGTAGTGTTTTTAATTTAATTCATTTTTAATTTATGCTCGTGATTTTGTGTTATATGTTTGTAGTATTTTTGGGAATGCGTTTTAGTAGAATATTTGAGTATTTTCATGCATTTCGTGGATTTTTCTAATTTATGATATAAAGCAGTGTGGTGGTTTAGTGAAGAGTGTGCGCAATGCCATTTTTGTGCAATCTGGGACGTTTTTTTTAAGTAAAAATAGTACGTGTACATGGTTTAGTGATATTTAATTAAATGATAGTTATTTGTGAATTTATGTTTGTAGGAATTTGGTATCCGTTTCAGTGAAGTAAACATGCATGGAAGTAATTTAAATATTTGACCAATATTGTATAGCCATTTGTAATTTTGCGGTATGAATTCGTTGGTGACGTTTATAATATAATAGATAATTTAGAGGTAAAGTTTTTGCATATTTTATTTATTTTATGCGTGAAGTGTCATTTTTGGAAAGGGTATATACTTTTTCACGATCAGGTAATTTCATATATGTTCTTTCTTTTTACCGGATTAAAGATTCACAAATTTTCATGCATTTTCGCGAAATTTTTATTTTGAGAAATACAGTGTTGAGAGATAGAGCGATAGATGGAAGTTAAGAGTGTGTGCAATGCCATTTTTGTGCAATTCTGGGATTTTTTTTAAGTAAATAAGTCGACGTGTAAATGGTTTATGTGTATGTGCTATTCTGGAAAACGTGCCAGGGTTGGCGATTGTGCACTTTTTCCCCATTTGCAGTAATATTGTCATGATTAAGCAGTTTGTTAAAATTTCTAGCAAAAGTGTAATTCGGCTAGTAGATTGTTGGAAAAAGTGTTCAGTAAAAAAAGAAAAGAAACATGTCTTTTGTGAAGACAAAATGGCGGCGGAAAAAAAAAAGAGGGTTGCTGTAGCAGAGTTGGTCGCCAAATTTTCGCCAAAATATCGCCAAGTTACCATAATCCAAAGATCAACCGAAAGATGTAAAGAATTGTTTCAGAGTAACTTCAGTATTTTAAAAAGAGTCAATTTAAAATTTTTTTCTATTTTAACTTCATCTTGAAGTTGGTAAGTAATTATTTTTACTTATTAGTGTATATATTGAAAAATATTGTTGCTTTAAAAAAAGAATAACGTAATTTTCTTTTATGAAGGAGACATACCGGAAATGTCAAATTTCACTTATTATTCCTCAAAAACTTTTTTACCAGTAAAAAGCATTTAAGTCAAAGACTCAACGGTAATTGAAAACAGAACATTTTTTTTTAAACTTTCATATTATTTGTTTCATTTCTAGGGATCCTTAAAAATTTAACTCAAAAAGTATGAGTGATGAGAACTGAATTAAAGGGAATCCCTGATCTGCTTAGGATTAGTTAAGGCAGTGGTCTCAAACTGGTAACCCCAAAAGCAACTTCACTTAGCCCATAAATACAATTCCCATGAACTAATTAGTATTGTTATGACAAGAATCTGAAGAAAAGTTTATGAATTTAAAGATTTGGCATCTAGTATGACAATGTATTGCTGAATTACAGTCAAAAGTCGTTAATCCGGACCTCAAAGCTATAAACTTTCTGTGCATGCATCAAAGCATACACTTAGGCATTTAAACATGCGCATAATACGTATACGCATGCGCGTTTAATGTATAACGGACGGTATAAGTTAAGCTAAAAATAACTTATTATCTATTTCACTTAATGTTGCAGATTGCATTATTCCTTAATCTTCGAATTGGATTCAGCTTATTATTTTTTGTAGACTATTAGAGCAATTTTATAAAAGTAAGCTTGAACTTTCGATTATGTCAAATAGAACTTCCGATGCTGGATACTGCCAAAGGATCTACAAAGTGAAAGCATGTTTCGATGTCCATCAAACAAAAAGTGGAATTGCTGCAAAAAATGGATAAATGCATATCCTTTGTTTCTCTAACCATTCCAAAATCTGCTTATCAATTTCACACTGCTCTGCGGGGGAGGAGAACGTCGCGGTGCGCAATGAACTGGAAGTTGATCTGTCAGCACTATTCTTATCTTCGGGGCAGATGTTTTTATTTTATTCGGCTTATAGTTCATTACTAAATGTAGTATTTCATCTCGATGTACTCTGTCTTTGATATGATTTAAAAAAAATTCCTCTTCATTATAAATATCACGAACACACATCAAATAGTTTTCTGGTTGCAATTTTCTAATTTCGACTATGCGTAATGTATGCTTTACGCATGCGTGCATTGAAAGAAATGTTTAATAAAGTAAACAAATAAATTTTTTTTTTTTTTTTTTTTTTTTTTTTTGAAATTACGGTTTCAAATTTTTAATTTTCATTTCATATTTTATTTTATAATTTCTTACCAGATTAAACTGATAAGTAAATCCGGAAGCGAAGTCCGACGAGTCCGAATTAAAGACTTTTGACTGTACTTTGCATAAACGTCAGTAACACCTCAGAAGATCTACAAATGCAGCTAATTAATTTACACTGTTATACAAAGCTTGTTCAAATATTTGAAGATACAAACTTGATTGACTTTTTTCGTATTTGTCAAGAGACGGAATTTTTGCAATAAAAATAATGAGTTTAGGAATAGGTTTGTATGTAAATGGTTTTGTTTTCACAGTTAAAAATTAATAAACCTAAAAAAAGAAACAGACTGACCAATTAGCATTTACAGTTCATGATGAAGAAAGTTTCTAGTAATTTCTCCTACAAACTTTAACAAAATCGTAACATCATGAAGTGTTGTAAGAAATAAGAAAATTTGTAATTATTTACATAAAAATTTATGCATTTCTTCTGTATGTAGCTAGGAAAACTTATATTAATTAAAGAAAGAGTAACAGCATGTCATTATTTATTCTCAAATTTTATTCCACTTAGAAAGTTTTTGTAATTTGTTTATTTTTAGTTTAAGTCATTTAAAGGTTAATTCAACATATTATATGTTTGAATTGCAAAGTGTAAGCATCAAAATTTCTTGCAGATATAAACCTTTAAATTTCCAACAGAAAAAAGCATAGTCTAATCTTTGGAATATGGTAACAGGTAGTTTGGCGACATTTTGGTAAGACGATAAAAGTTATTAGCTAGGACTTTAGCAATAATCTGAGAAGTATATTCCATCTTGTATCTTGTGGTGAAACAGTTTTGCTAATATGGTGATCCCTGACCCTCTCTAAAGTAAATCCAATTTTTATGCATCTATGGATCATCAAAGAGTTGCTGAAGATATGAGGTGTAGGATTAATTCGATAATATGAATGTCCAACATGTGGGAATGAATGAGATGTGTGAAAGGAAGGATATTACAGATAAGTTGGATGCGTGCAAGAAATCTGGTGAAAATGGACTTTCCGAAAATTCCGTCGTGATTTTAGCTAATAGCACTTAGAACAATTCGCACCTAATCTCATCATGATTAAGCACTTTTGTTCCATAAAAGTTCTAGCATAAACGTAATTCGGCTAGCAGATTGTTGGAAAAAATGTTGAGTAAAAAAAAAATGCCTTTACTTCGTAAAAACAAAATGGCATCCAAAAAATTTTTAAAAAACTCGCAGGTTGCTGTAACAGGGTTGGTCGCCAAATTTTCGTCAAAAAATTGCCAAGTTACCATAATTCGAAGATTCACCAAAGCATAAATTGGAATATTTTCCTTTGCATCATTATTACTGTTTATGCAAGTTTTCATAAATATCCAGTGAACAAAATTTAAAATTTAGTTTTCTTAAAAAAGCTGTTCTATTAAAAAAAAACTTTTCATTTTGCTAAAAAAATAGTGTGATCTATCAGTTGCTTTCAGATCGTGCATTTGGTCCCATCCAATTTGAGATTGAGACCACCAAGTTTAAGGCATTACATGACAATATTAAAGTTATTTGTTATATATAAAAAGCTATAATGTATTGAAGTATTTTGATAAAATTTGCAAAACAATAGGATAAAAATAAATAACTATGCATATACAATAATGAATACATAAATCTATCTACCTGAAGGTTATTTTTCTTCTTATCTGTTAAGAAATAAACACTTTGTTTTCCAGAACTAAGTATCAAGTTAACATTCTCAGTTGCTAACGATCGTAACTCAGCTTTAAGATAGAGGATTTCAGGAAATGGCAGAGAAATATTGCAACAATATTTTAATATTCCTTTGGTGAATATGAGGCATTCAGATTCGGTGCAAACAACAGCATGATTTTTAGTCCAGTTGATTTCACTGAAATTTGTCACAGATGATCTTTCTGGTATTTGAATATTAAAAACTTTGACAGTTCTTAATGCACTTTCGTAACATTTAGGAAAGAAGAATGATGTCGCTAATTTTCTACATGTGACAGATGAATCTTTTTTCTGTGAATTTAAGCCAAGTGATATAATTTGAATTAATTGATAGCCTCCTACATTATAACTTAAAATAATAAGTAAGACATCAAGAGGCAATTTACGTCCCACCTTTCCTAAACCTACAATTTGAAGTAATTTTAAATTTTTAAAGTTTGCAGAAAATATAGATTTTAAATTAAAACAGTACTTCAGCTTGTGTGATAATAAGAATAACTCTAACAGATTCTCATGCAGCATTAAACACGTCGGTCCATGAGTGAAAAAAAAGTTAATATTTGGGAGAAGAATAGTCTTGGAGGGCCAGTCTAAACACTGAACTCGAAATAAATTAGAAGTTGGAAAGTCAAAATAAACAAATAAGGACCACTTGTTGGTGAAATCTATTACTGCAATTATCATACATTTCAATCCCACGTCATAACTGTCTGTAACATCTAAATACACATCTTTTTTTAAAACAGGATCTCTTAATGGGAGTTTTATTTTGGCTGTTTCATAAAATTTGGCAGCAGGCCGACTTTCGGTACTTTCAACATAGGTATGAGCTATTATGAAAATATCATGGCCCACAAAATTCGGGATAAAAATCTTATTATTGAAAACACATACTTTACTGAGCATTGCAAACTGCAATAAAATTACAACTAATATTTAGTATTATATGTGTATACGAAACTGGCCAATACGAATCAAATTCGCGCGGTAACCTGTAGCAATCTTGCTTTTGAGCAAGAAGAAAGGAGGTGAGGACTTTGGCGAGCGCCGTTTCCTCCAGTCCGTGAGGCGCGGTAAGTTAGGAACATGTTGAACTGCGGTGCTTAACCACCAGGGTGTCTGGGCGCCATAGCCCTACCCCTCATCGAATAACATGATAAAAGTTTCGAATTATGAGAAATGTAACTGAATGTGCTAAATAATTAAATGAGCAAGAGTTTTTTAAATTCATAATTGCTAATAGTTAAATGCATATTTTTTCCTTAAGTACCTAATTACTAATCCATACATAATTAACTATTTTTTAACAACTATTTCACAGAAGAATACATGTACACACAAGAGAAACGGTGTTGACGAGTAAACAACGCAACTTCGGAGTTCTTAGAATGGAATTTTTAACTACTCATTCAGTCTGCTCAAAATCATCTCGTACATAGATAGCTATTTGCGCAAAAGGATTTCTTGAAAGTTTTAACTTGAATTTAAGGTAGTACGTGAGGAGACTTTGAGTGAGGATTTTTTTAATTTTACTTTTCATTTTTCTTGAGTCGGGCCAATTTAACTTCTGGTGTTTGGAATTTAAAACATTTTTTTTAAAATAACAATTTTACTTCGTATTCTGGCGATCGCCGTAAAAACCAGTCCGTCAGGCACGGAAAGTTGGAAGAAGTTGGCGAGTAAACGACCCAACTTCGGAATTCTTAGATTAAAATTGTTAATTAATTCTGCAGGAAGGATGTTTCTTTATCGCAGTATTTGGCGATATAGTTCCTTAGATGAATGTATTTTTTACACTCATTCAGTCTGTGCTCAAAATCATCTCGTACTTTGCAATTTAAGGCCTCATTCAATTGAAACATTTAGTGATCGTTAGTCGTCATACGTCATCAGTTGCGATTGATTTTGCTGTTTTGGTATTCAATTGAAACGCAACGATGACTCTGAGCTCGCGATCGCTCGTTCTCATAGCGATCACTTGGAACCCCATCATTCCCGCGAAAAAAACGATCGAATCAATATGGCGGCTGTGTTGTTTGTGCTTTCACGAGAACAGAAATGAAGTGTGCTAAAGAAAATGTTTTAGATCTACTGAGTGAGCAGCAACTTATATCAAAGTATAGGGTGTATAAGGACCCTAGCAAGGGGAGCCGATGCATCTGTGTTGTATCAAATTAAGTGCACTTGTTGCTAGTGACATTGATAGCGTTTGTGTTTTTATATTTGTGTTGATGGATTGCACCTAATTCAGAGAAATATGCGTGGATGCACTGCATCAAATTATTCAATCGTTCCAGAAAATAACTTTGTATGCTATTCCCCGAGAAATGAAGAAATACGAAGAAAATGGGTAATTAATTCTTGTCCATTGGAATAGATTCCGAATCGCAAGACCGTGCGCTTTTGAAGTTAGTTCAGCTTCGTATGTTTTCATAATTATTAAAAAAATAAGTGTTCATGTTTCAGCGAAATTTGTATTATCATTTAAGTATTGCTAATTAATGACAAACTGATTTATATGTACAAAATGAATATCAGAATGTGTATAGTCAATACACAGATACCAACGGCGATAAGTAGATGCTGATGTGATTTTCTTTATTGTTATTATCGCGAAAGACAAAGTTTAAATAATATATTATACATTTGATTTCAATTTTGTGGCGTGATTATAACTACGAAGTGCACTTTTTATTTAAATTTTAATGCGGGATTCATGGTTTTAAAATCGTATGTTATTTTTTGACCTTATATATTGTCACCAAATCTGTAAGTCGGCCTCCAATGTAAAAAAAAAAATGTTAAACATTGAAATATGATTGAAATTATGCATTATATAATGTTCCCTTAAAGTAACATTAATATATCATATTTATATTCATTTTGAAGAAGGTAATCATCAATTTAGGTATTTAACGAATAATTTTGACTGTATTTATACATCGTGTAAACTGTATTTCCAGCTCTTTCCATTTAACTGCGATTGCTGTCAATTTATTCCAATGTATCAACATAAAATATGTTTAAAATGCTGTACAAGCTTAGCAGTGATTCTTAATTTTTCAGACAATTTTTTATGTGTAATTAAATAATTTAATAATATATGTTACTGTAATTACTATTTTTGATTTTAATGTTTTAGAAATTTGCTAAATCAAGTTTATTTTTGTGTGACCTTGCATCAGAGGCGCCCAATAATAAATCTGTTTTGGATTTCATTCACTTTCACTGCTAAAGAAGTTTTTAATGAAAATCTTATTACTGTTGTAAAAGAATGAAAAAATGATATTTACTTCCTAATCAGTGCCTTATGATATTGCAGTAACTTAAAAGGCTTCTTACTCTTTCTTAGGTTGCATAACTTGCTTTCATAACTTCTTGTCATCTTCATGTATTTTTATTCGTCTATGTTATCAAATAAATATAAAAGGTATGTTTATAATTAAAAATTCTTCCTTTCATAGCAGTGTTATGTACCATGATGTGATTGTTGGCGTTTATTATATAGTTATGAACATTAGAGTCATTATAAAGTTGTATGTATTTATTAAATATATGTAATTTACATCATTATGTATTATATAATTTTCCTTTTAGAAATATTACATTGTATTTTTTGGTTGTTAATAGAACTAGGTACATTTTTCTTTTCTTTTGCTTTAAAAGGTCTTTTTGAATCACTTTTTTTTTCAGTATGCAAAAATTACTTGACCTATATTTTTCACCTGTATATGATTTATGTGAATGGAATTGTCTTTTAGGTTAGCTGTTTTCATAAAAGAATTAAAATAAATAATACCTTTGAAGAATTTTCATAGATAAAACTTTAAAACAGCGCTGAAAAGCCAGAGATCGCACAACCAAACGTGAACTGCAACCCTAAAGAATGGTTACGAGGAGTCAACCTGCACATCGGGTAGCTCTTTTCATGTATTTCGAAACAAAGCACTCCGACACGTGACAACAGCATCGCGCATCAGTAACCTTGCACCCACGGTGATGTTAGGGAGTGTTAAATAATACCAAAATCACTCGTTTTCAAAGTCTCTAATGCGGAACACGATCGCTGTTTGAGCGATCATCGCTGTTTCATAAGGCCTTTATGCATAAAGAGTACTTGAAAGTTTTAACTTGAATTTAAGGTAGTTCGTGAGGATACTTCGAGTGAGGATTTTGTTGATTTTACTTTCCATTTTCCTTGAGTCGGGCCAATTAATATTCAAGTGTTTGGTATTTAAAACATTTTAATAACAATAATACTTCGTGTTCTGCCAGGTGGTCTCAATTTCCCTCTCCCTGTCTTCCCTAATTTCTTTTTTGATATCCTGCCATGTATATATTGGGAGGATTGGAGTATTGCGTGAATTTACCGCCTGTTTAGCCAAAAAATCTGCCCTTTCGTTGATCTCAATGCCTTTGTGACCGGGTATCCAACAAATTATTATCTTACTATTTGGCATGTTTTTGTAAATTTCATATCGAATATTCTCAATTATGTTGTTATTTGAATCTTCGAAGGAGGCAATAGCTTCCACTGCCGCAAGACTGTCAGTGAAAATTATCGTCGCTTCGGAAAGGTTAGCTAGATATTTCAAAATGTACCAAATTGCTGAAACTTCCGCGGTGTATATAGAAGCATTTCTTACAATCTTGATGGCTCTGTTAACGGTATTTTTTTAGATTGGTTATTCCAAAACCAGTTCCGTCCAAATTTTTGGAACCGTCTGAGCCCCATACGTTTTCTGCTTTAACATCCTGCAGTCAAATTTTTAATAAAAGGAGCGTAATCAGTGACAAAATCGTGGAGATTCTTTAAATCGATGTTACACACAATTTCCTAAAGTTATCCAAGGCGGAATCCGTTTCTTTTGCCGGACAACGTTCTTATCTAAAATCCATTTAGATTCATAGCTGTCAAGATCAGCTCTTAAATCCTTTCTTTCTTTCTTAAACCTTCCGCCTCTAGTGGCGGGGAAAAATAATCGGCTCCCTGAAATTTTTTATTTATGATAGATAATATTCTTTGCCATTTTTTTATCTTATTGTAATGCGGAATTGCTGCAATTCTCCTAATAACGTCGTTGGGAGCAAAATGACTTACCCCTAAGGCTTTTCTAATCGCTTTATTGATGTAAATATCGTACTTGTTTTGGGAGGAGATATATTCTCCCCATCTGATTTCACATCCGTATATGAGTTGGGGAATCATGATTTGCTGGATGATCTTTAGTAAGTTTTTTGTTCTCATTCCTTGAGTTGGGTGGGAGAGGATTTTGATCAAGTTTTAAAGTGTTATTTAATCTTTTAACTAGATAAGCTTCGTGTGCTCGCCAACTGAGTTGTGTTCGAAAATAACGCCAAGTATTTTATGCTCTTTTTTCCATCCAATACTGAGATTACCTATTCTGATGGGGGAAGAGTATTTCTTTCTTCCTCTTGAAAAGTCAATTAGTGTTGATTTCTCGAAGGAGAAAGCAACCTTGTTTTCAGCAGACCAGCTAAGGATCTTCTTGAGAGTGTCTTGTAAGCAGGAATACCGGCTGTCCTTCCTAACAGTAACATGCGCATAGATATCATCAGCGTAAATGAAAAGCTTGGTACTCCTATCATTCAGTTTACAAAAATCCAACATGAAACAATTGTAGAGGAAAGGCGATAAAATGGCTCCTTGTGGAAGGCCCTTGGACATGAGCTTTTCTGTGGATAGGATAGATCTCCACTTTACAAAAATAGTACGATTAGTAATAAAATTGTAGATCCAACGCACCAGGGTAGTGTTCATGCCCATCTTTTCCAGCCTTTCAATCAAAATCTCATGTTGCACATTATCGTATGCACCTTTGATATCTAAGCAAATTAAGTAATTTTCCAGATTTTTGCTTCTGGCTGACCAGATAGAATCATAAATGTCTCTAAGACAGTCAGTTACGCTAATGCCTTTTCTAAAGCCATAAATATTTGAAGGGAAAAATTTTTTCTGTGTCAGCCCACCACCACTCAAGCGCGCTTTTTTTTTTTTCAAGGTTTTTCCCAATTTTCCCAAGACAATTGGTTAAAGTTAAAGAATTGGCCTGTAATTTGCAATCTGTCTCCCATTTTTATTCGGTTTTAAAATCGGAACAACCCAGGATCAGATTTCCAGATTGT